TTTGTGACATTCTGGTAGCAGGAAAACTGGCTTAACTGGCTACCTGGGAGGTCTTCCTGTGAAGAGAATTCCCAGGTGGTGAAAAGCAAGCCCTGAAGATCTGCAATCTGCATTGCTACTCCAGCTCATGCCTAACACAAGTAATGTAGGTGAGGAATACGTTGTAACCAAAGCATCTATCCTTCAGTTATTACCAGCCAACATAATCATCCCTCAAGGCCACTGGCAGTCAGGCAGCTCGGTCTTTGGATCTCTTCTGATTTTTGCCATAAGATGAAATCTGGGAAGATAATGCAGTATTATGTTTGAGAATATTGCTGAAGATGAGTAAGAGCAGTACTGTGCCATGGCTGCATAGGCTCTTTTAGACCATGAGATGTACAAACATAATCCTTAATACCTGGAAAAAAATGTTATTCTGCCTCTGTAGAAAATGTGTGAGGCCAACTGGTGCAACTACAGAGGTCCATGCTGTAGTCCACCCCCAGGAAAGTCCATGTTTCCACCTCAAATAGACAACAGATTTTGTGGTAAGGACTAGGATACTTAACGTGGTTTTAGATCTGGTTGCTCCACTATCAACCAGATTTCTATTTTGACATGGCTTTTCCAGACAATGGTTGAATATTGTAAAGTGTGAGCAGTTCTTCCTCAGACATTTGATTCATTGTGTTAAATGGGATCTGATGAGATGACGCAGAATCCCTGCAAAGATAGAAGAGCCCTGGCAGTATTTCCATTACTGATTGAGATACCTCATGGTGTCCTATATCCAAGGTTTGAATCATACTTTGATTGGGGGGGGAAGGGGGGAGCGGTAATAAAATCGGAGACCCCTCCAGGTTATGATTTTCAAACCTTACAGGGGGGCAGATTGCGGCGGGGGGAGCTCTCTGCCTCTGCCTATATCCATGGGAGTTAAGCAAGACTGGATCCTATCACCATCACCCTTTAATTTTGGCATTAACTGAAGCTTGAAGAGGCAGCTGTTGATGGCATTGAGTTGAACACTTTTGCTCTGAGACTTTGAATATGCTAATGACAATGTCCTTTTGGCTGTTTTTGGTAAAACACTGCAGGTGGATGGTTTAACTAGACAAACAGCAGAACAGCTTGGCTATCAGCCCTGACAAAAAATATCTTCTTGGTTATAAATATCAAGCAGCCTCTGTAACTCTAGAGCTGTTCCAATGAATGCTACCATTTCCCCCTGCTGCCAAATGACCAGACCTGTGGAGAGCCCCACAGGCTAGATGACATGGCCCCAGGGACCGGATTTGGCCTGCAGGCTGGAGATTGAACACCACTGCTGTATACTGTTCCTAGCTTTGTCACTTGCCCTGTAACATCCCACAAGTCCCTCACCCACACTCAAGTTTCCCTCTCTGCAAAATGGTAGCTATAGTGTTTTTGTAAGGCTTCTTTGTCTGGCACTTGCTGAGAGGTGATAGGAGCGGAGCATCAAGGATGACCCTGCTCCTGCAATCAGATGTGCATGTCCTCTGAACCCACTAAAACAGGTGCCTGTTTGCCTGGGCTTAACACCAGCCTCTGCTGCTCTCATCATGCACTGGTGGCCTACGCTGGTAATACGGATGTCTCAGTCCAGAAACCTGTGCTAACAAACGATGGAGAAAGAAGGTGCTGCCTTTTTGTGGTGTGTGGGTGCTGGAGGAGGCGGGATTTTAAGAAGGGCCTAGGCACTTTCAATCCCAGGAGCCGCACCTTTAAAAACCTGTTTCAAAGCCCAAGTGTGTGTTGTGTGTGTGTTGGGGGGTGAGCCCCACACCCTTTGCCGGGTGCCCCAAAACGGAGGCCAGCATTTTTGCAAACTCTACTAAACTTTCGCCGGCTCCTAGAGGCGAGCTGGCATGGCAGCGCCCCCCTCCCCCGTTGGCAGGTATTTCGGTTTTCCAAAGGAAACCAGCTAGTGGAAGCCGGTGGGTGCGTCTGTGGGACAGAGGCGACAGGCCTCCGCCTGCCATGCAGGGGGAGAGAAGGTGGACGGACGCACGGACG